CTGAAGCAAACTATATCAATCTTACGAACGGAAGTGAATATGCTAGCTCCAGGTTCTTGTTGCGAAGAAGATGAAAGCACAATCACTGGCCTTCGACTTCGTAAAAGAGGCCATCTTCATAGATAAGAGTGCAGCAAGAATTAACGTATGTTGTATTCCAGTTACGAGAAAAAATAGGGGGGTGGGATTAGGCGAAAGGGGGTAGCTTTCGTGATAGATTGAGCCCACGCCTACGTAATCTCACATCTTTGTAATGGCGCGCGTTCTTTGACAGGAACTGGATCGTGCTTCTTAGCCGCGCGAACGAAGGGCGTGATAGCAGAGGGGTATATATCAACCTGTCTGTTGATGGAGTGGGAGTCAGATACCCAGGCCTCCAGTACTTCTTTCTCCATCTTATAACTGGTTCGCGCCATTATCCGTGTGCCCATTATGTCAAATTCGTGGCCGTCCTCCGGGGTGTGGGTAAAGATTTGGGAATGCGGACCGTCTTTCAACACTGTCCGTTTGTATTCCATTATTCGCGAGCTTAGTCGCCGTCCGATCTGCCCTGTATATTTGCGAGAATAGTCGCGGCACGATACTTGATGAAGGACAGCAGACTGCTCACCAACATCCAGTTGGTCCTTTATTTCCATTATTTGAGAACGCATTGTGACTGTCAATCTTCCCACATTTTCTGTTGTCCCGCTCCTTTACTAAGTTATGGGTGCGTAGGTTCAAATGTTTTGACAGGCGGTGGCGCCAGCATAACTGATTCACTTAAAACTGTCGGTAAATAACTAAGAAACGGAAACCTTTTCAGAGTCGATATTAACATATACGAACGTGAAAAACCATGTTTTTCCGACTGCGTCATTATTTGAAACGCACGTGAAAGGCTAATGGGCTCCAGTGGCTGCCGTTAGGACTATCTCCGGTTAACATAGTGCATGCTGCAATCAGACCGGATCAGTGACGTGCACACACCCGCGCATACACGCGCGTTCAAATAACTAAGGGCCATTTAAATAGTCCACCCCTCGGCCAATTCAGCAAAGATCTCTGCAGGCGATATCCCCTCGGGCAATTGCAAGACTCCAATAACAGAACAATTGAACCTGCTCCGCAATCCTACTGAATCAGCTGTCACCAGCGTCTCAAGCTCTCTCAGGTCTGGCTGGGCGAAATCAACACTAGCCCTGGCTTAGCCAGTGGCCACTGCAACGTGGGACAGCATTTGGGAGTTCTGTACATAATAAATCACTCCTTCTGGTGCCTTGTGTCTTTTAACTTCCAACCTGGGATTTTGCTTCATGATTGTAGTGATCCGAGTACAATCCACTACTAAGCCCCCTAAATAGTAACCAAAATCATAGACTCTGAAGTTTCTGAAAGAGCCATACGCGATCATCAAAAGAGCCATATATGACTCGCGAGCCATGGGTTGCCGACCCCGGGGCTAGATGATCGCGGCTAATAAGCCCGAAATGAAAATTCCAGTCTCACTTGTATTTGTCGATTATATTCATCTGAATCAAAACTATATGACCTCTTTTGGATTAGAGAATGCCTTCAGCTTCTCGGAGGAAATTTGTTTTTCCAGTATATCTTGCTATTTGCAGAAAGTTGATGAAAAATCAGCGAAGCATGCCAGTATCAATTTGGCGCAAGCGTGTCCCACGTGTGCCCTTTGCAGCTTTTTATTCGATTGATATCATGTGCCTATTTGGTGGAAACCAAACTAATACTCATGGCTATTCCGCGATCCTTTTTAGGTACCATCGCAATTGTCAGCCTTCTCGTCGGCGGTTCCCTCGATCGGGCTGTTGCTGCCTTGTACACATACCAAAGTGAGTAGTGTTTGCTTAATTTGAAACTTATGATTACGTTATGATGAACAAAAGCAAATTACTTGAAGAAAATGCCAAGTTGGTTGCCACGAGGTGTTTGTGAGTCTTCGTTCTAACCACATTTATTGCCTTACCCACAGATATTGTTGTCGCGGTTATGCAGCAGAAAATGTCTAATCTCACTATTGTTAACCCTTGACTTGAAATGTTGCTAACGAGCATGATAGTCTGGTCTTTATATGAGTACTTTAGACCGACTGGAGGAGTGATAGTCAAGCTGCAGTGGTCCCTTCTTGATGGAGCCTTTGTGGCTTTTTCACTCACCTGAGACCCAAGTTTCCCTTACAGAAACCTAGTCTGTGAATTAAGGAGTAAGCCGTGTTTGGCACGCGTAGGTGGACTCCTCAGCTTTCTCGGTCGCTGTGCCCGCTCCCTCCTTAACTAGTCTTGACATTGTCTTGCCATCGGAACAAGGTGGTTGAACGTTGAGTGCGTGCGATAGGTGCATTGAAAGTCCCTCTTATTAGAAACCAACCATTTTTGCAAGTTACCACCGCTGCACCCACTATTTCGCGAGGCACGTGATTGACGTCATCGGTCGCGACGACCGAACCGTCAGTACCACTATAGATTGGGAATTTTCGGTAGGAATTTGATTGGGGTCTGAGTACTCCTAAAGGCAGCATTGCCACATGACCCAAGGCTACTTATTTGTCAGATCCGAGAGCCTGCTTATTTCGTAGTCAGTTTTCGCCGAAAACCGTTTCATTACCTCCAAGTTATCGAGTGGACCACGGCTAGTTTAGCAGGCAGGTGCTATCTTCTTGAGGTCCCTGTAATTCTGACATAACGAAAGATTTGAATTCAGTGACCTACTCAAACCGCCTCTTTGCGGCAAAGAGCGCCCTATACACTCAATTTGTGATAGAGGAGTAACTAACTGACTGAATTTAATACAAGTAACTTTCTGCAGGAATTTAATATCAAGGAGTTACGAAAATACGCCAGAAACGGACCAAAGTTTGATTGCAGCGACCTAGGTCTTAAAAAATCGCCATATCGAACCATTTACATCTTGCAACTACTTCCGTCAGGCCGATATCCCTCATGATCAGATAGTAGGGATGCAGTCAAATGCCATTTTCTACGTTACATGGAATGTTTCTGTTTCAGCTGCAAGCCAAAATCTGACTAGGTGAGGGAAATTTTGTATAATATAGGGCTTACGGTCCTGAGGCCAAAGTGTTGGGAGATTCAGACTAGAGCGTCATTAAGCTGTCTGTCCAGTTGGACACAGACACCGCACCCCGTCTGCACTATTTAAAAGGCCGACGAGCTCGCAACAATAAGGTTACTGTGAAGTCAGTAAGTAGTACCTAGCGGTATGCTAATGCCGAAGGCTTGTGTTAGTCTCAGAGGTCGCAAACCTTTGCCTCGTGCGGTTCCTTGGAAAGTCCTCTATTTTCGTCATACATCCTGAACTGGCATCTGCTTTAAATTAGAAATATCCCGCAGGCTTTCTCATTCCTGCATTTTCAGTAAGACATATACCAAACATCGCAGGGTGTATTGTCTGCTTCCCGCTCTGGCGTCCAAAACCCTCAGCGATAATAGGACCTCTAGTCATCGAAGAATCTCCCTGGGATGCACAAACCTTTGTCATAGTACAGTGGAATCTGGGTTAATGAGTTTAATTCGTTCCGGCACCGAGCTCGTTATGTGAAACGTTCGTTTTCCGAAACGTAGTCAATCAAACTGCATAAGTTCACTGATTGGTTGCAGGCGACCGAGGACCCATGCCCTGGGAACAAGACTCAACGGCGGACACAGACGCACACCCACACACTGACAACTCGTTAACTGAGCGGAAGCCCGTCAAGTGAAACACATTTTCTGCGAGTGGCTCGCTCGTTATCTGAAATCTTCGTAGATGGGCCTACTCGTCACCCGAGGCTCCACTGTACTCTTATTGCACGAAATGACCGCTGTCCTCGTGAGCAAAAAAACTAATCCGCCATGAAACTTTACTCACCTCGACTACTTGTAGACTTTTGACGTTCATACATAACTGCTGTTTTAATCTGTTTACATGGGACGGCTTCGACGCCTTATTAACCTGGATCCAGTGTGGATCTGGACACAATTAATCTGCGAAGTAGAAGACAACTCGATCGCTGGGACACTATGTTTATTTGCCTGACGTTTCGATATCCGTCGCTGATTCATCTTCAGAGACATACTCACAGAACCGTAGCAGAAACCATAAGGCGTCAGATCATCAGACCGAAAGACCCTCTGCCACGGCAAGAAACATCGGGGGTTGTCTACAGGATCTGGTGCAGTTGCGGGCAAAGCAACTACGTCGGAGAAA